AGCTTATGTATCCATTCAACTCACAACTACTGACTACACCAAAACATGAAAAATTGTTGAAAATATATCAAACGAAGAAGAATACAAAATGGTCGGCACACAGTAATAGTATTTTTCAATATTTCATAACATTGGCAATTTCACTCGTACATTATTGTCTGTCGGTCACCATCTAAATGTGCCCCTTTACCCCGTATGCCCACCCCCTAACCCCCTTTCCCTCTGGTAACCACTCATCTGTTCTCTTTGTCCAGGTGTCTGTTTATCCTCCACATAGGAGTGAAATCATGTGCTGTTTGTCTTTCTCCATCTGGCTTCTTTCGCTTAACATCATACCCTCAAGGGCCATCCATGTTCTGGAGAATGGCACAGTTTTGTCTTTTTTATAGCTGCATAGTATTCTGTTGTGTCTATACACCACCTCTTCTTTGCCCATTCATCAGTCGATGGGCACTTGGGTTGCTCCCACATGTTGGCCATTGTGAATAATCCTGCAATGGACATAGGGGTACATAAGTCTCTTTGAATTGTTGATTTCAAGGTCTTTGGATAAATACCCAGCTATCTAGCTGGGCCCTATTGTATTTTTATTTTTAATTTTTTGAGAAATCCCTGTAGTGTTTTCCATAGCGGCTGCAGCAGTTTGCATTCCCACCAGCAGTGTACAAGGCTTCCCTTTTCTCCACACCCTCTCCAACAATTGTTATTTTTTGTCTTGGTGATTATAGCTATTCTAACCATGGTGAGGATGTCTTAGTGAGTTTGATTTCCGTTTCCCTGATGATTAGCGATATTGAAGGTGTCTTCGTGTGCCTGTTGGCCCTCTGTGTGTCTTCTTTAGAAAAGTGTTGGTTCCTATCCTCTGATCAGTTTTTGATCAGGTTGTTTGGGTCTTCTTTGTTCGGTTGTGTGAGTTCTTTATATGTTATGCAGATTAAACCCTTGTAAGCTATAGGATTTGCCAATGTTTTCTCCCAGTTGGTGGGTGGCCCTTTCGTTTTGTTACTGGTTTCTGTGGTAATTTATCCTCTGTCATTTCTAATTTTATTTATATGAGCCTTCTCTCTTTTTTTCTTCGGTAGTCTAGCTAAGGGTTTGTCCACTTTGCTTATCTTCTCAAAGAACCAGCTCCTTGTTTCATTGATCGTTTCTACTGCCTTTCTTGTTTCAAATGCAATTACTCCTGCTCTGATTTTTATTATTTCCACTTTCTGATGACTTTGGGGTTGTGTGTCCTTCTTTTTCTATTTTGTTAGGTGTAGGTTAAGATTGCTTATTGGAAATTTTTCTTTATTCTTCAGGTGAACCTGTATCGCTATGAGTTTGCCTCTTAGGACCAGTGTTGCTGCATCCCAAATGAGTCGGTCTGGTGTATTTTCCTTTTCCTTTCTCTCCAGATATTTTTTTACTTCTCCTTTAATTTCTTCAATGATCCATTGGTTGTTCAGTAGCATGGTGTTTAGTCTCCACATGATTTCCCTTTCCTAGCTATTTTTCTTGTTGTTTCTCTCGAGTTTCATAGCTTCGTGGTCTGAAAAGGATGCTTGACGTGATTTCAATCTTCTTGAAAGCTTTGAGGTGTACCTTGTTTCCTAACAGATGGTCTATCTTTGAGAATGTCCATGTGTCCTTGAGAAGAATGTGGATTCTGCTGATTTGAGATGGACTGTTCTATTATATTTATAAAGTCCATCTGGTCTAGTTTTTCATTTGAATCCACTATTTCCTTGTTGACTTTCTCTCTGGAGATCTGGCCATTCTCTAAGCAGTGTAAGTGGGGGTGAAGGTGCACTAATATTATTGTGTCTTGTTAATATCTCCTTTTAGCTTTGCAATATTGCCTTATGTACTTTGGTGCTCCTGTGTGTGGTTCACATATAATTATCAGTGTTAGGTCTTCTTGGTGGAGAATCTCTTTGATCATTGTGTACTGCTCCTCTTCGTCTCTTATTACCTGTTTTATCTTGAAGTCTACTTTCATAGAGTTATGGCAACACCTGATTTCTTTTGTCTCCATTATCTTGGAGGATCATCTTCCATCTGTTCTCTCTGAGCCTGTGTTTGTCTTTGCAGCTGAGATGTGTATCCTGGAGGCACCATGTTGTTGGGTCTTGTTTTTTAACCCATCTCACCACTCTGTCTTTTGATTGGAGAATTCAATCAGTTTACATTTAGAGTGATTATTGATATATGAAGGCTCAATGCTGCCATTTTATCACTTGTTTTCTGGTTCTTCTGCATTTCCTTTGTTTCTTGTCCCAAGTATTTCAGACTACTAATTCAATTAGGTAGTTTTCCTTGGTTGTTTTCTCAGTTTTCTCTTTATTTATCATTAGTGTCTGAGTTCTAATTATTTGTTTAGTGGTTACCATGAGGTTTGTGTAAAAAATCTCGTAGATGAGATAGTCTTTTTTCTGATAGCCTCTTATTTCCTTAAACTAACCTCATTCCATTCCTTTTCTAAGTTGTTATTGTCACAACTGATTCCATGTTGTGTTTTGAGTGTGGTCAAAATGAGGAGATTATATTTATTTTCGGTGTTTTCCTTCCTTTAGCTTTAATGTTATAATTCAGTGTTTTCGGGCCTGTTCTGATAGAGAGCTGCAATTGTCTGATTTTGCCTACCTATTTCTCTCCTTGCTCAAGGCTTTTTAACCCTATTCTTTTCTTTTTCAGGTATGAGGGCTTTCTTGTGCATTTATTCTTGGGGGGGGGGGTCTTGTGGCCATGACCTCCCTTAGCTTTTGTCCATCTGGGAACATTTTCATTTATCCATGATATGAGAAGTATATTTTTACTGGATAGAGTATTCTTGGCTCCAAGTTTTTGTCTTTCACAATTTTGAATATATCATTCCACTCTCTCCTACACTCTAAGTTTCCCACTGAGAAATCTGCAGACAGCCTGATAGGGGTTCCTTTGTAAGTTATTTTCTTCTGCCTTGCTGCCCTGAAATCCTTTTCTTTATCATTGATTTTGCCAGCTTTACTACCATAGGCCTTGGAGAAGGTCTTTTTGCATTGATAGAGTTAGGAGATCTACTGGCTTCTTTCACTTGCATTTCCAGCTCCCTCCTCAAGTTTTGGAAGTTCTCAGCTCTTATTTCTTTGAAGAAGTTTTCTGGTGCATCCTCCTTTCTCTTCACTGCACTGGAACAATGCGTATAATCTTTCTGTTGCACTTCCATTGGAGTCGGATATTTCTCGGAGAATTTCTTCATTTCTTTGTAGTCTTACTTCTCTCCTCCTCCACTGGAAGCATTTCTAGATTTCTGTCCTCCAGACTGCTGATTCTCTCCTCCATAATATCAACTCTATTTTTCAAGGAGTCTAGAATTTTCTGAATACCACCTATTGTGTTTCTCATCTCCAACATTTCTGATTTCTTCTTCTTTATAGTTTCAATCTCTTTGTTGTTGAAGTTCCTTTTGTCATTGAATTGTCTATCTGTATTTTCTTGTAGCCGTTTGAGTTTTTTATGATAGCGGCTTGTAGTCTCTCTCATTTAGATTATAAATTTCAGTGCCTTCAGGATTAATTTCTGGGTACTTGTCATTTTCCTTCAGGTCTGGAGAGTTCATCCACTTTTTCATACTGTTTGATGGCATGGATTCGTGCCTGTGCACAGTGATAGTGTCTGATCCCAGCTTCCCCCTGCTGCCCCTGGGTAGGAGTCAAGTGCTGTGTATTCTGAGCCCACAGCCGCATTCTGCAGCTTGCTCGCTCACAGCTGCTAGCGACATTCGTAACTGTGTGGGTGCTCTGGCCGACCCGCTGACCTGCAGTGCTTGGCGGGGAAAGGGGGCTTTCTTTTGGCTGCTGTATCCTAGGGGTGTTCTTGCCCTGTCTTTGCTGTCTGCTCTCCTCAGGGGGTAGCTTGGTGAAGACACCCTTGAAATAGCTTGATCGCCTCTGTATGGGATGTTCCCTTGGGCAGTGAGAGATGTCAGAGAGTCAAGGTATTCTCACGGAAGGCCACCACTCTCCCTTCTGTCTTATAGCCATGCTGTCCCAGGCCCTGTGTTGCTGCCATGGGGCAGGGAGAGTAGATCCCCTTACCTCCTGCCCCTTGCTCCAGGGGGGCCAGCACCACCACCTTCAGACATAAGGCTGTGTGAGTCTCTCAGACATCTTCTGTGTTCTGTGAAGGTCGTCTGTTGGCGTGTGAACGTCTTTTACATTGTATCTAGGGGCCAAGTCTACAGGGAGAGTTCTCTCTGCCATGATGCTTATGTCTCCCCTTATATAATACTTCTGGAAAGTATTTATTCATATGGATGAAGATTGGACCCCATGAGGTAGAATTGGAAATGGGCAGTGGAATTATTCATCCCACAGTTCTTACTGAAGCCTCCCTGTGCTGGGCACTGTCCCAGGACTCGACGTCCTGGTGAAGAGACAGACAGGCTCTCTGTTCACATAGCAGGGGCTGGAGACCACATGGGGATGATTTCCTGTTTTGGACGATGGGAGGTAGTTCAAGTAACACATTTCCTGAAAATAGACATTCAGCGTTTGTGCCCCCTTCTTTGGGAAGTGTCCCTGCCTCTGGGAATGCGTCAGCCACTCTGGACATTTGCACTGTCACAGTTGTCACCACACTCAGTTGAATTCACTTCCTGTTTGCTGTCACGTCCACCCCCAAAGCTCCTCCCCCACCCCATTACTCCTGCTCCCCACACAAGCCTGGGAACTCTTAGTTGCTTTCAGCATGTGATCTACGGCTGGGCCCCTCTGAAGTCAGTGGGGCAGTAATTGGATGAAAATGTGAGAGGTTGCTGAGAGGCAAGACTATTGATATCCACATGTTGACAAATCTCCATGCAGCCCACACCCACCTTGGCCTGGAATAGCCAGACCTCCAGGTCAGGGACCCAAGTTAGACCTGGGCTTAGAGGCTTTGCCTACATCTGGCTTTTGGGGAAGGACGGCAGGTTTGGTGCAAGGCATTTCCCCATCACCGGATGATGTCACATCAGCCTACAGCTCCTTATAAAGGTCACTGCACCCTTCAGCCACCACTTCCGTTGTCTCCAGGTGCCTCCCAATCTCGGCATGGCGCTGCCCTGGGTTCTCACTGTCCTGAGCCTCCTTCCTCTGCTGGATGCCCAGAGCCTAGGATGTGCCAAATTCAGGGCATTGCCTATCACCGATGCCACCCTAGACCGGGTGAGTGCTGGGCACCATGGGCAGCTTCCTCCCTCTCTGGGCTTCCCTCTGCCCTGCTGGCTTGTGGTCAGTCCCCTCTCCTGATTCTGCCTTTTCTCTCCTGGGTCCGGGGGTGAAATTCTGACCAGCCTCCAGTGGCATTCCTCTGCCTCCCAACATAGAAGCCTGATTGCCAGGTCCCCCAGCAGGGGATAATTCTGTACTTAACAAGGAGAGTCCACTGGGTTGGTGGGATGCTTGACCTGCAGTGTGAGCTCCTACATGTCCACTCTTCACCTGGTGCCTCTGTCCTCCTGTTTGCAAACTGGAGAGAGGTGTGCTGGAGTCTTGTCCCTTGGACCATTGAGACCCCGGCTCCCAGCCTCCCTCACCTGCTCCTGGCTTCTCCCCAGCTCTCTGGCAAGTGGTTTTATATCGCGTCGGCCTCCCGCAATGCTGGGTACAAGCACTCAGCGAAGACATATCAGGCAGCCTTCTTTTACTTTGATCCCAGCCACAAGGAGGACACGATACAGCTCAGAGCTTATTCAACCATGTGAGACCCCCACACACCCACCCCAGCCCCAGCTTCTGGCTTCTACCCCTCGTTGCCCAGGGACTTTGAACAAGTCCCACCCCCTTCCTGCCCTCGGCCTTCCTATCCATGGAATGGGGAGGGCTGACTCCAGTCACCAGCTGACTCTTGTCCCGGATGACTGCGATGGGTGATGGTCCACTTCTCCTTGACCCACTTATTGTTTTTCTCCCCTTCGGTCTGGCTTCAGTGGGAACCAGTGTGTCTACAAATCAGCCCTCTTGAATGTCCACCGGAAGGAAGGGACCTTATCCATACACGGTGAGACCAGTCCTTGGGCACAGGGCTGCTGTGTGGAATGGGGAGGATGTGGGTGGCCAGCCTACAGGAGGGGATGAGGCTAAAGCCCCGGGGGCCTTGGGCAGAGAGAATATGGGACAGGCCCACTTCTTCTTCTATCCGTGCTGCCAGCCCCTGCGCACTGCAATAATCAGTAACGACAGCCACCAGTTTCGAGTTCTGACTTTGTGCCCAGCACCTCGAAGCATCTGACATGAATTAACCCACTTCACACTCACAGACAACCCTAGGAGGACATTACAGGGATCAGATGAGGACACAGAAACACAGAGATGTCAGGTAGTTTCCCGAGGTCACACACTTGCGATGAGAACTCGGATCAAACCCCAGGCTGGCTCCGTCCTGTCTCTCTCTCACTGCTCTCTATCCTCTGGGAGCTCAAGTGGCAGCCTGTGCGTTGGGCAGGAAGTGACTTCACCCGATCCCACCATCACAGAAGAGAGGGTACAGAGTATGAGCACATGATGCTGATGGACTTGAACCCACAGCACGTAGCAGCCTCAGGGCCCCTCCCTAGGCCTCATTTTCCTCATCTGCAAAATGGGGAGGAAGTTGCTGACGGCCACAGTCCGTGTGCAGCTCCTGGGGTTCCACACGAAGAACTGGCGCAGGCAGGGCGTGGCGCACAGTAGGAGCCAGGGACATGGGGCCCAAGTGAGCCCTGGCTTTCTCCCATTGGCTATGTGGCCCGGGGCACACAAGTGTCCTTGCCTGTGAGATGGGAACCATGGTGCCGTCCTCGTGGTCTCACCAGAGGCTTCCTCCTCCAGAAAATGGCAGAGAACAGTTTGCCTACTTGTGGCTCACCAAGGACCCCAGAACCTTCATGTTTGCCTACTTCCTGGACGATAAGCAGAATATGGGGCTGTCCTTCTATGGTAGGTTCTCCTCCAACCCCTGCCTTCCAGGCCTGACCCAGGGAACCCCCGATCCGGGGGCTGAGCCCCCAGAACGCCGGCCCTCCTGGCCTCCCACCCAGGCTCCCAGCATCCTCACCCAGCCCCTTGCTCCTTCCTGCAGCGGACAGGCCTGAGGTGACCCCGGAGCAGATGAGTGAGTTCCATGAAGCCATCGGGTGCATCGACATTGACAAGTCGGAAATCATGTACACTGATGAGAAAAAGGTGAGTGCAAGGAGGGCTGGGCAGCGGGCACCCACGGGTGTCCCCCCTGGGGCAGCCCCAGAGTCCCAGGGAGGGAAAGCTGCCCACCAAGACGCCACACCCATGACACAGGTGGCACCATCACCCCAACTCTTGGGAACCCTTGGAAAGGGCTGATGGACACAGGCACTGGAGGTGGCCCCCTGGCCTGCGGCCTGCCACCCCATCGCCTTACTGGGGGAGTTCGGAGGCCACACGGGCGCCCAGAGCCTCAGTGGCAGCATCTGCACTATGGTGGTGAGGATGCAGGAGGCCAGCATGCGGGATGGGCGGGACATAAGGGCTTGGCAACTGCCGGCTATTCCTAAGGGTTTGAGGCCCCATTGTAGAGGTGAATAAGTTGAGGCTCAGAGAGGGAAAGTGACTCACCCAAGGTCACCCAGCTCGGAAGTGGCAGAGCCGGGCCAGAGCCCTGGGTGGCCTTGACCACAGTCCACAGGTCATTCCGGCTTCCCCCAGGGACCCCTGCCGACCCAGTCACTGTGCTCTCTCTCCCCATCTTCTAGGATCAGTGTGGGCCTCTGGAGAAGCAGCACGAGGAGGAAAGGAAGGAGAAACAGGAGGAGGCCTAGGAGGACGCAGCCCTGGGTTGGGGCCTCGGGGACTTGGGGGCGTCCTCAGCCCCCATCCACCCTTTGTACCTCCATTCCTTCCCTCAGTGGCAACAATAAAGCTTCTGCCTTTGCGACGGGCACTCATCATTCACTCATTCCGTCATTCGCTCCTTCATTCATTCATTCCCGTTGAGACCCGCCCTGAGTTGAGCGCTGGCCGAGCACTGGACAAGGCCCTGCCCCTGGTTGGAAGGGTCCCCGCTAGAAGCCCCAGCACACGTGCCAGGACAGACAACCATGTGCCTGAGCCCAGAGGGAGGCCAGCACGGGGATGGTTCCCTCTGTATGGGGAAGTCTGGGTGGGCTGCCTGGAAGGGGCGTCTGAACCGGTGTGGAAAGATAGGAACTGGATACCACGTCTGTTTCTGCTGCAGCCCAAGGATCTGGGAGGACCCCTTGGAGGAAGTTGAGGCAGTGGACCCCACGTAGGGGTTCAGCTGGATGAGGGGCAGGGAGGACTCGGGCGTGTGGTCCAAGCAAGAGGGACATTACTGAGGACATCCCTCTGGCCCTGAGGGGAGGAGAGGGGGCAGGAGCCAGACTGGAGGCACGAAGACCCGAGGTGGGCCGTGAGAAGCATCCTGGCAAAGGCAGGGGTCTGGACCACAGCCAGGGGCACAGTCGGGGGACGTGGGGGCTTGGCGCCTTGGACCAAGGGGCCGTGTGTCACTGTGACACGTCCTGAGACACCTGCCTGACCCCAACAAGAGGACACGACACCCAGCAGGATGTGGCTCCTGGGAGCCAACCACCCTGCAATATGTTTGCATCCTCGGGACAGGGTCCCGTCTGGGGCAGCCCACGCCGTGGCAGGAAGAGGCTGATGCGCACCTGAACAGGGGCCAGCGAGGAAGGCCGCCTCCTCCCAGCCTGAGGGCTCCGGGTCTGTGGTCACGGGAGGGCAGCTGCTCCACTCAGGGGGCGGGAATGGCGGGGCTGAATTTTCCAGTCAAAGCCTCATGTGAGCGGCCTCAGCCTTCAGAGAGACAGGCCCCAACCCCACGCCTGATGCCCAGTCCTGCGCTCACACACCACCGCTCGCCAAAGAGCCAGCTGCACACACCCAAGACTCAGCTCAGGGGTCGGCGTCTGGTAGGCGCTCAGTTGCTACTTAATGGAGCACTGCAGAGAGAGTCCAGGCTCCAGCTTTTGCAGACATTGATCTACTGTGTGTCTTGTAGCATCTCTGGCCTCCATATGAAGGGCTTGATCAGACGGCCTCTCCTTGCAGAAGCTCCAGTAGAAAGACTTATGGTTCTGAGAGAGGCAGAGGGGGAAAGTGGGAGACACAGAAGCCACCAGAGGGAGGCAGGTGGAGGGAGGTGTGGGAGGGGCCGTGGCTGCCAGCTGCCCAGGCCGTCTGTGGGCGTGTCCATCCCTGGAGGCTCTGGGAAAGGCCTCTCCAGCCATAGGAAGGCTGGGCGCACGTCACTCTCCATGCTGCCATGTTACGATGGTCCAGTGGTGTCAAGGTGCCACACAGGCCACCAGTCGCTAGAGGAAGGTCCCCAGCCACATCCATCCCAGGGATCGCTGCTCCAGAGCAGCTGGTGACAGGCGGGTGGCCAGGTGTGCACCAGAGCCCCTGGCCTCTCCCTTCTTCTCCGGCCTCCTACGGAGGATGCAAGACAGGAACACTCCTCAGTTTAAAACGTCTGTCCATCTGTCTATAAATTATTGGCTGGAGGGGTGTATATATATATATATATATGTATATACATATGTCCACAAAGACACATGTCCATAAAAACATGTTTATTTCTCTATTTGTTGAAAGCTTGCTCAGACTCCTGCTTCATCCCACATCCTACCTGGGTACCAGCTGCCTGGTTCGTGACCCACAGAAGCAGTCAACAAACCCAAGCTCGGTCAGGATGTGAAAGCAGCCCAGGAAGCCAGGCTCAGCAAGGGCAGAGGGAAACACCCCATGGACCCCCATCTGCTGGCTGTGATGGGAAGACTCAGCCTGGGGGCAGCGGGGTTTCCTCCCTGTGCTCCAGGGGCTGTAAGATGGGGACAGTCATGGTGTGGGTGTCACAGGCTTGTTGGGGGAACCGGATGGGGCCGGATCCATGAGGCACTCCCCTCGGCCCTGGCAGATGTGAAACGCTCAATGTTCTTAGAAAGTTGGACAGACTCTGGGTCCTCACGCAGCCCCGTCCGTCACCCCTGCCTCGACATCCCTGGGTCTCAGTCACACCTTCAGCATGGCCCGGTTCCGGCTCTTCGTTCCCTCCTGGGCCGTGAGGGTCCCACTCCGTGTGATGTTCCAGGACCCTGTCACTCCCAGCTCCTCGGCCTCTGTCCGCTCACCTGGGACAGATATGTTTCCTGTTGCTACCTTGCCCCCAGCCCCCAGCCAGTGGCTCTGGGGTTACCCACCCCTCCCAGTGAGCCACGGGGGATGGCCACGTCTATAACTCACTTACTAATGTGATAACCTGCACCGTTACCATAACCGCTTACTCGTTATTGTCTGCTCTGCTCTGCAGTCAGATCCATGGAAGTAGGAGCCGTCTCTCTGCATGTTGTAACATTAAGCACTTTGAAATCCTACTGTGTTTCATCTGGAGCCTGACTCTGCACCGGGTGCCTGGTTCATGACCCAGGGTCCCTGGGGACCCAGCCCTGGCTCTCGGATGGGAGTAGATGATTCTGTCTTCGCATGCAGCCCAGGTCCTGCCACAGCAGGTGCTTCCTGACCCTCCTTATGACTGACAGCTGCATGGGCTCCCAGAACCACGCATGGGCCCTGGGGCACGGAGGCGTCGGAAACTGTTTGCTGAATGACTGATGGACAAAGAGCCCGAGATTGACAGAGGCAGCCCTCCCGGATGACTTCATATCACGGACGCAGAGAAAGTGGTAACATGCGAATGGCTCGTGGGTCTCAGAAAGGGCTGCTCAGACAGAGGAGACCACCCTGGGGACCGTGCCACCCGCCCTCCCTTCCCCAGCCGTGTATTGTATTGTGTGTCACATCTATGTAGACACAATTGGATCATATGAATGACTTAATATTGCCAAACGTTTCTCAGCTCCACATGCAACTCTTGCAAATACCACCTGTTTCCAATTCAGGCGACCAAGCCCAGCCACACAGCGCAGTGATGGACTCGCCGTCTCATTGGGAAACAAACATTGATGTTGCAAGAATTTACTGCCTTTGCGCTGAGAGGGAGGAATCAGAAGTTAGTCACTTGTCCTTTCTCTGAGCCCTAAGTCTCCTCCGATGCTCCCTGAGCTCTGAAGCAGGTCCGTCTCCTGTGTTGGCAGCAGCATCCTCCACAAAGGCTCAGCACAGCCGGGGACAGCAGCCCGATGGTCCAGGGACCGAGTGCAAAATGCGAGGAACTGTTCCTCTGGGGTCTGCACGGTGTTGGTTGTGAAAAAGCATGTTTAGGGCTGTGGGTCACTCTGTGCCAGTTGCAGGACCAGATCCCAAGTGACAGAGGGGCTCACGTATTCTTCAATAAACTCTGCATGTGTGTGTGATATGAGGGACCCTCTAAAGCTCTCGACTCTGGACAGGAGCTTAGAATCTGGGAAGGGAATGAAAGCTTATGTATCCATTCAAATCACAACTACCAACTACATCGAAATATGAAAAATTATTGAAAATATATGAAATGAATAGGAATACATAATTGTAAACACACAGTAATGATACTTTTTAAAAATAGTTTATAACGTTGTGTAATTTCAGCTGTGCATTATTGTTGGTCCCCACGCATATGTGCTCCTTACCCCTCACGCCCACCGCCAACCCCCTCCCCCTCTGGCATCCACTAATCTGTTCTCTTTGTCCACGTTTCCTTTGTGTTTCACATATGAGTGAAATCATACAGTGTTTGTCTCTGTTTGTCTGGCTTATTTCACTTAACATCATACCCTGAATGTCCATCCATGATGTTCCGAATGGGACGATTTTGTCTTTTCTGGCTGAGTGGTATTGCATTGTATACATACACCACCTCTTCTTTATCCACTCATCAGTCCATGGGCACTTGAGTTGCTTCCTCATCTTGGCTATCGTGAATAATGCTGTGATGAACACAGGGGTACACACCACTACTTGAATTGTTGATTTTAAGGTCTTTGCATAAATACCCAGTAGCGGGAAGGCAGGGTCATGTGGTTTTTCTATTTTTAATTTTTTGAGAAATCTCCATACTGTTTTCCATAGCGGCTGCACCAGTTTGCATTCCCACCACCATTGTATGAGGGTTCCCTTTTCTCCACATCCTCTCCAACATTTGTTATTGTTTGTCTTGGTGATTATAGCCATTCTAACGGATGTAAGGCTATGTTAGTGCAGACCTGATTTGCATCTCCCTGATGATTTGTGATGCTGAACATCTTTTCATAGGCCTGTTGGCCATCTGTTCTTCTTCTTTGGAAAAATGTTCATATCCTCTGCCCATTTTTGGATCAGGTTGTTTGGTTTTTTGTTGTTCAGTTGTGTGAGCTCTTTATATGTTATAGAGATTAACCCCTTGTCAGATATATGATTTGCAAATATTTTCCCCGAGTTCATGGGTTGCCTTTTTGTTTTGATCTTGGTTTCCTTTTCTTTGCAGAAGTTCTTTAGTTTGATGAAGTCCCACTAGTTTATTTTTTCTTTTGTTTCCCTTCCCGAGTAGACATGGCATTTGAAAAGGTGCTGCTAAGACCAGTGTCAAAGAGCGTACTGCCTGTACTTTCTTGTAGGAGTTTGATACTTTCAGGTCTTACCTTCAAGTCTTAATCCATTTTGAGTTAATTTTTGTATATGGCAAAATAGAATGGTGTAATTTCCTTCTCTTGCATGTGGCTGTCAAGTCTTGCCAACACCACTTATTGAAGAGACTTTGCTTTCTCCATTGTAGATTATTGGTTCCATTGTCGAAGATCAGCTGTCCATAGGTGTGTGGTTATATTTCTGGGCTTTCAGTTCTGATCCATTGATCTCTGCGTCAGTTTTTCTGCTGGTACTATGCTGTTTTCATTACTCTATATTTGTAGTATATTTTGAAGTCAGGCGTTGTGAAACCTCCATATTTGTTCTTTTTTTCTCAGGATTGCTTTAGCTATTCATGGTGTTTTCT